TACTCATCTCATTGAGTAATATTTCATTGAAGCCACCTTTTCAAAATGTTCGAAGGATTCTCTCCAGGTGAATAAAGGGCCAAATTATCCCTGAGTGGGTGCGACTTGATTGCCGTGCGAACAGATTCTTTCATTTCTATCACATAAAAGTACCGACTAATCATCGCCTCCATGACAACATCACGTCATCGAGCCCGAAGGCGGGCTCAATGTGGAAGCTCCGCGTCGATTCTGCTGTCTCCGATAAAAAAGACCCTTACGCATCGCTAAACTTCTTTCCAATCTTGGGCCTTTTCTGGAGCTTCTCTTGTATTTTACTGATCAAATGTCACCTTGCATAATATTCGCTGAAAAGACAACTCTAGGCTCATTCACTAACCCGTCCACGAAATAAGCCGTTAGCGCTGTATCGATCGAGATGAGCCACCACAAATGCTGAGGCGGAAAATTCATTCGGTCCATTCGTTGTTGATAATTACAATGGTGACTGAATATCCGGTTCGATAGCCCATTCGACGGCATTTTTAGCGCAGCGTGGCGCCGTTGTTTTAGTACTGTAGACATTGATTCTGTACCAACACACTCCGAATCATTACGTTCGAAAAGAGAAAGCAATAGATAAGAAAACCCATAGGAACCGAGAAAGGCGACTGAGTCCTATTTTTTGGTAATTTGAGAGCATTCTTCTATCTGGCCTGCCTTTTGGAAGCGTTCATCTAAAGCTTAGAAAATTTCTCCGCTCATTTTTCACTCTTCTTTCTTTCTTTACACTGTCAAATTGTGCTCTATGAATGTCAGATCGATTCCAAGTAATAAAAGCATTCGCTCCCATCTTCCTCTGCTGTCCTCTAATTTTTTCAAGTATTTTTTCTCACTGTTACGCCCACAGAATAAAAACTACAGGGTGGGCAAAAATTACGGTAACAAGAGCGCTAACAAAACATTTCGATTTCCTTCGAACCTAGTAAATGCAGCTGGCTGGAGAGAAACCAACAAGATAAACCGCCTGCACAAGCAAATATTGTGCAACATTGGTTTTGCAGAATTTTCCGAATTCATGACATTGAACGAGGGGCCACCTTATTCCCGTGTTAAAGCAAGTGGGTTATTTTCCGTGGAGTCTACTGAAGACGATGGGCTACTACGAGTATCACTAAAGCATCGACGAATTAAAGAAGATCCTAGGGTAAGCTCGATGTCACCTACCTACACACAGGCCATATGCGTTCCCGAGATGACTTCACTCAGGTATAAACGCAGAACAGCGGCCAGTCCAAGAAGTGATGTTGTATTCTGTTTGGTAACTTCCTATGAATACATTGTTGGTGTCCACGTGTGTCTTCCTGGCCGCATTGCTTTTCCATGAACACTTTATCTTGTTACCGTAATTTTTGCCCACCCTGTATTATCTCATCAACCCTTAGGAATGATTTCTAATAATTCAATCTTCTTGGCTTCAACAGATTTCAGCATTTAGCACTTTTTCGCCTACACTTTTCATCACAATATCAGTGAACTTACCTGTTAGAACAAACTTTTATGAAGAAACACTGACGTAGAGAGCATAAGTGCACAGATCGCTTCGCTTTGTCCACCTATCGTCTACCGTAATTCATCAACCAGTTAGTCCAGCTCCAGCCTTATGTCAGTTAAGTGTGCTAAAAGTGCTTTTCCCATCGGAGTTGTGGATTTTCTCTCAACATCATCAAGTAGAGCAATGCATCAAATTGGATGCTTCATTTAATTCTGCTTGCTGGACGGAATCCATTAAACGCCATTGGAAGCCATCCTTACACCCCCCACGCATTTTGTAATACAAGAGCGTAGTAGTTTGGATCACAACTCAAGCAATCGTCGCAGGTTGATATTTCGCACTCCGGTCCCATATCTTCGACGCGCTCCGTGGCACGATCGTAGTATCTTTTAGTTAACTTTGGCTTCATTTAGCATAAGCATAGTTCATTTAACCCTTTCGGACCTGAATTTTTCCCCGTGGAGAAATTTTCTTCTAGCTATTGTTTATTACTTGTGAGCATATAAGTATCATTATGGCGAAATTTGGAAGCTATTCGATCACAAACAAAGAAACTAAGAAGCTTTGAAAAGTTGGCCCACCTTCTTAGTTTTTTAAGCTGATGTTCGACGCATTCGACTTTATCTATGCCGAAAAAGTTTATAATCTTGCACAACATTATAACCCATAATTTTGATTTAGAATGGATCTACTTCAAGTATTTTAGAAAAAGTGACACACTTACTTGGCCGGTTGCGGGGCCAGCGCCGATTCATTGTTGCACTTGTACACAAATACTTGTAATACTAACAGCAACACACAATGAAATGGCAGGTTTAGCTCATAATTAGGAAGGGGAAGGTTGACTGAAGCAACCTCTAGCAGGATTAGAAAAACCATGCTGTTTCAGCGGCAATGCAAGCATTTGAATTTGGTGGTGGCAATTGCCACCGCCAGGGCCGAAAGGGTTAAATTCTGTATGATCGTATTTTTGATAAATCGCTATCGTCTGCACACCGTCACCCGAGGCTGAACAGGCCCATTGTGACTGGCTTTTGACTTTTTGAAGCTATTTCATATATACATGTGTAATGCAATTCGGCTCTCAACCAGCGCAAGACATGTCCTAAACCCACATTAAAAGGTCAAGTGTCACATAATCATCATTTTGGCGAATTCAAAAATTGTAACGGATGCAAGATTCATGTCCAATGATTTCCACTTTCTTGTGGTGCGTCAAGCATGCGACTTTTGCTCGGGATTGAAGAGGATTTCCGACCACAAGTAGCACTGGTGTTATGAGAGATTGCGCCAATTTTGAATGGCACATACTTACAAGGGAGGTCGTTCAGGGTGTGCCAAGCTTTTTCAAAATGGTTTCTTGCATGACATTGGGGCACATATGGGGACCATTCATTTTTCCTGAACGGCCTCTGAATACCAGAAAAGGGGTCCCTAGTTCGATTCCTCGTGGTGACAAATTTTTGCATTTCGAGTTGACGTTTCCAAATTCGCGCAAAATGGAGTTAGCATGAATAATTAGTACCAAATTCATGATTAGGAACGTCAGTAACCCTTACAAATAGACTTTGATTGAAAAACTGGTGAAAAAGGTGTGACTAGGGACCCCCTTTTCTGGTATTCAGAGGGCCGTTCAGGAAAAATTAACCATGGTTCTGTGGTTCCCGCATGTGCCCCTATATCATGCAAAAGACCGTTTTCAAAAAGCTTGGCACACCCTGAAAGACCTTCCTTGTTAGAGCATTCGCGCTAGCATTTATGTACATTCTGCACTGATGTTAGTGGCGAATCGAGCCGCAGCATTTTCTTTTGGATATGCAAAATGTCGGAGTGATGTTAGCCTCCCACATCCTTGCATGATTGTTGTCAAATTTGGCCGGCTAGTGGCTTTCCTAGATCTCAAATGAAACAGACATGGTCTACAGTTGTGTACTTCACCAAAATATGTACATTTCCAAGTAAGGGAATAGTAGCTTTATGTCATGCTCAAAGTCGTCGTATGTTTTGCTCGTTGACTTAACTCCCTCTCTCTCTCTTTCCTACGCGTCCGTTCATCGTGCGCGAAGCTGTTCTCGCATACAAGGGAGAGGAGGGAGCATAAGGAAGTTCCACTTCGCCCACGTGCAGCACTGAATTAGCCACAAGTTGCTAATTTTACGAGAACTTCGAACTGATTATCAAACATCATGATCTGAAATATTCTTTTTCTTCCTTATGAATGCTATCGTACCTTTCTGAGCTCAATATTTCGCTAATGCATGTCATGGGCAAAGTGGCTCTTTTGGCCCTCCTGTATATCTTTTCTGATGAGGTTTCCCTTGTCAGCTCGCTTTGCTACGCGAGATACCCACTGAGCCGTCTTTGTAAAAATGCTCTTCTTCGACAAGTGTAGTTCCCCTTTCCTTTCCTGGTTCATTGATTGTGCTGGTAAACGGAGCTGCGAACCGTAGACAAGGCATCACTGAAGCACCTTCTTCTTCATATAAAATATATAGAAGGATAAAATGATTTCTTTTCAGTTCGCTGTCAATTTTCCTCCACATATACTTGATAATTGCGTTAAGAGTACTTCCGCAGATGCCAGCTCTATTTTCCATGTTTCTCTTTCCTACGCGTCCGTTCATCGTGCACGAAGCTGTTCTCGTCATGAATTTCGTCATATGCGATATTTCTCTCATTATGCGCCTTCCTTTTGCAGTTTTCACCGCCACGATTTGATTACATGGAGCCGGCGGTCGATTGATTCGCGCCGCCGTCCGCAGCAGCAACTCTACAGTATCCGTTGGTTACGGTACCGCGTGATATGTCGTCGGTAAAGGTCGCCGTACGCGTTCGACCCTTCAACCAAAGGGAGATCGCCAACGGGTCGCGATGTATAATTGGCATGAATGGCACGACCACTAGTGAGCAATCTTTTTGTAATTTTCGTTTGATTTTTTCCACGTTTTCCGAATGGTTTATATTGTATTTTGATCTACAATGATTTATATTCTGATCTTCGTTCAATATTTCATTTTCGAACGTTTATAAGGAAA